ATGAGGAGACAAGCATGGCTTGCTGAAAACCAGTTCTAAGCCCGATCTTCACTTGAGGAGACAAGCATGGCTTGCTGAAAACCAGTTCTAAGCCCGATCTTCACTTGAGGAGACAAGCATGGCTTGCTGAAACCAGTTCTAACCCCGATCTTCACTTGAGGAGACAAGCATGGGTTGCTGAAACCAGTTCTAACCCCGATCTTCACTTGAGGAGACAAGGATGGCTTGCTGAAAACCAGTTCTAACCCCGATCTTCACTTGAGGAGACAAGCATGGGTTGTTGAAGACCAATTCTCACCTAGATCTTCCTGGGTCTACATTAACTACAGTTTGAAGTAACCTTAAGACTTGCTTGTATTTTCTGTCACTGAATCAAAGACTAACCAAAATGACTGTGTGAGTTTGAAGTCTCTATATTAAGCATAGAGTCAAAAAAAAACACCCATTGATGTCGCCATGGTGCTTTCCAAAAGGCCAAATAATACATTAGAAAAATGCCTGTAGAAAATAATTTGATGTGAATTACACATACAGAATCATTTTGCAGTTAAATTCTTTCTAATTCAGCATCATAACGCATTTAAACGATCGGCAACCTGACCTTTTTATCATGCTCACCAAGCTCTAACCTAAAGATTTCACAAGCTATATGATATCTATTATAGAACAATTTCCAACATAAAGAACAAAGAATCCATCAAATGAATATAATATCACTATTATTAGATTCACTGGCTTAATACCACTACTAAAGAATTGATAACGACATTTGTTAAAAATAGGTTCAACATTATGTCAAGTTTTACTCCTCGTTTGAAGGTATTAATGATATGGTGCACCAAAGGACTTTTCCAAAGCCGGTAATGGTCAAGTGTAGCTCGGCAATATTATAAAACAAAAAGCTATTGACATAAACTAAATTTTATGACCTTCAAGCAATAAAATATTTAACACATGATTGAAGAGACTTAGTCATGTGCCATTAGGATCCCTAAGCATGTGATTATTCATACAATATTAGTAATACCTTTTACAAGCTTCCGCTTGTTTTGATAAAAAAATTGAAAAAGAAACCCCAACCTCAAATGATGTTAGGATAGCATCAAACGAGACTGATAAAAAGTCCATTAGAGCAGTAAATGAGGAAGCAAAAAATATTTGTGTGTTTAAAATTCATTTTCAGAAATGATATATTCAGGATAACAGTTTCGTAGAAAGGTTCAATTTTTAGTACATTTTATAGGTTGAATCCTATTTGGGATTCAAACCCACAGAGTCACTGAGACTTCCATTTGTACACGATTTGTACAACATTTAAAAAAGGATATCTTATTGTCAACTGTGTACAATACAGCTCTGATATAAAGGATATCTTATTGTCAACTGTGTAAAATACAGCATTGATATAAAGGATATCTTATTGTCAACTGTGTAAAATACAGCACTGATATAAAGGATATCTTATTGTCAACTGTGTAAAATACAGCACTGACATAAAGGATATCTTATTGTCAACTGTGTAAAATACAGCATTGGTATAAAGGATATCTTATTGTCAACTGTGGAAAATATAGCTCTGATACATAGGTAATGTTATTGTCAACTGTGTAAAATATAGCTCTGATACATAGGTAATGTTATTGTCAACTGTGTACAAAAGAGCTCTGATATAAAGGATATCTTATTGTCAACTGTGTACAATATAGCTCTGATATAAAGGATATCTTATTGCCAACTGTGTACAATGCAGCTGATATAAAGGATATCTTATTGCCAACTGTGTACAATATAGCTCTGATATAAAGGATATCTTATTGCCAACTGTGTACAATGCAGCTCTGATATAAAGGATATCTTATTGCCAACTGTGTACTATAGCTCTGATATAAAGGATATCTTATTGCCAACTGTGTACAATGCAGCTCTGATATAAAGGATATCTTATTGCCAACTGTGAACAATATAGCTCTGATATATAGGTTATATTATTTTCGACTATGTACAATACAGCTCTGATATAAAGGATATCCTTTGTTAATTGTGTTCAGCAGATTCCTAGTATACATTTTATCTGATTGTCAACTCACTCAGTACAAACTGCATTGATACTGGATACTTAAACTCACCATCGAGTTAAAGTACACAGCTATAATACTACAAATGACAGTTTGAAGTCAACAGTGTTGATCTTAACAAGATCAAGTCAATGTCCATAGGTTGCTCCAAGCAAGATCAAGTCAATGTCCATAGGTTGCTCCAAGCAAGATCAAGTCAATGTCCATAGGTTGCTCCAAGCAAGATCAAGTCAATGTCCATAGGTTGCTCCAAGCAAGATCAAGTCAATGTCCATAGGTAGCTCCAAGGAAGATCATGTAGATGTCCATAGGTTGCTCCAAGCAAGATCAAGTCAATGTCCATAGGTTGCTCCAAGGAAGATCATGTCGATGTCCATAGGTTGCTCCAAGCAAGATCAAGTCAATGTCCATAGGTTGCTCCAAGCAAGATCAAGCCTATATCATGGGCGGATCCAGGAATTTTGAAAGGTGTGTGTTTGTGACTGTGTGTGTTTAGGGGCTTCGAATCCCCTGAATCCCCCCTCTGGATCCGCAAATGTATATCCATAAGTTGCTCCAAGCAAGAGAAAGAGAGAAATACAGTTGTCACTGATTTCAACCTGACCACCCAATCCTATTAGTCAACTCTGATGGCGGCAAGCATGGGTTGCTAAGACCAATTCTAACCTGGATTGTCAAAGGATTTCAGTTTGTTGTGATCAGGATGTGAGACAAGACGTAGACAATCAATCACCATATGTTCGCTGTCAGCAAATATCTTGTTATTAATATCAGGTACAGTCTACTATCCCATTATCACAGATACAACAAGGGTCAAGGAAAACAGTTATGATGTGTGGAAATAGAACAGCTCCAGACTGCATCTGCAATAGTAACTGCCACAAAGCAGCATGTCACAGACGATGCTCCTACTCAACATCATCAAAAGTTTCCAGATGACTTGGAGCCTGCCTGTGATATTTAAACAGAATCACATGGGGAAGCAATGCCAGCTGCCAGGGCGAAGGTGAAGCAGCTGTAAAATATACAACAGTAGAAAAAATAATGTGCCTGTCACTCTTCCGACGGTCGGGGATAAATACCTGGATCTAGTTGTTGGTTTGACTATCACCATCATCATCACCATCATTAATTTCATCATCATCATCATCATCCCTATACTCACCATAATCATACAAGTTATATCAAGTGAAAACACATATTGATTGAGGATATATTCATCATATATTCCTGAGACAGTAATCAAGAGTCAGCAAAATATATAACAGATACAATACCAGACAGATATATAAGCAAACATTATACCGTCCGGGAAAATAAAATAAAAAGATCAAAATGAAATTAAAAATATGACAATAACTGATTCCAGTATGAACATGATATTTCAACGCTAAGGCTTTAAGTATAAGATAGTCCAATAAGATAAGCCGATGAGAGGTTGAGATAGTGTTATAAATAGACCCAGCAAGGTCAGGCTGACACAGGTCATGGTGACCTGTGTATGGAAGGGTAAACAACCATAGACTAAGTATCAACATGACTAGAATAGAAAGCAGTGACTTCACTTCTGTGGACATGTCTGTACATTATTAACATTAGACATTAGTTTGATCGTTCCTATAAAGACGACCTAAAATAAGTACAACTGTCCGACATGACACGTTCAAGCAAAGCCTTGTTAGTCGAAGGATAGTAGGTATTCCCCAACTGACGCTTCAGCTATGGACTTATATCTAAACTTTGGCTAATATTCAGAATGTAGTCATGTGCATACATGCATGTTTGCTTTAAATGAGCCTCTACACTAGTTTCACCTGACTATTTACCTGGGAATATATTTACATGGTTTGTATAATTACAAAAGTGTTTTTAAAAATTGCATAAATAATGAACTGACTTGCTCTTTATATTTGTTATAATTTCATAACAAGTAAGTGAAGTATTCAACATTTATATGATGAATGATCCCGGTTATTAGTTGAAGCTGCAATGGTAAAAGAGATCACTGATAACAACATGTCACACTGAGAATGTGATGCATGACACGTCGATCATGACATTTAGCATGGCGACACCAACGCCCATACCGATGGAGAGCGACCAGCTCACATATCAGCTCACTTAAACACACACCAACACAAACACACAGCGACCAGCTCACATATCAGCTCACACACACACACACACACCCCAACACACACACAGTGACCAGCTCACATATCAGCTCACACACACCAACACTAACACACATTGACCAGCTGACATATCAGCTCACACACACACACACACACACACACACACACACACACACACACACACACACACACACACACATTGACCAGCTCACATATCAGCTCTCTCTCTCTCTCTCTCACACACACACACATTGACCAGCTCACATATCAGCTCACTCGCACACACCAACACACACACCAACACACACACAGTGACCAGCTCACATATCAGCTCACTCACACACCAACACACAATCAGTGACCACACACACATATAAAGAAAAAGTTGACTAGATGGTGTGTTTGTGCTGAGTCTACAGGGATTCTCTGTGCACACACATGTATACGCAGCATCTTCAAAGTGTTCTCCAGGGCATGACGACACGATGAGACAATTAGTAAGTTCTCTGACATTCATAGCAATGAAAGGTCGCAGACTGAAAGTGAGGAGACGTGTCCCGACACACACTGCACATAAAGCAGGGGGTGCCGGAAACTAAATGTCCTTAACAATTATTACATAACAAAGGTTTATTACATGTATATCATACTGTTCCATCCCATCAAAACTAATGAAAAATATACCGATCTGTACAAGTCATATGCTCCTGTTTCACATAAATTAGAACTTCAGAGTTTCCATGTCAGGTCACTGCGACCTGTATACATGTAACTGCATGTTAAAGATATAAAACAAGTGAACTGAATATTTGACAGAACACATACCGGGGGTAAGTCTATTGTCCTATAAACACACTGTCTGTGAAACAAGACAATGCAGTCTAAAAATTAAATTTTGTCGTGTAACAGGTACTAGATGTGTGAGGGACAGACTGTTGCCCAAAGCGACATCAGTTCAATACAGGGGACGGTGGCAGCACAAGCAGCTGCCCATCAGCAGCCACCAGACCAGCTCTATGTCATCACGCTCTCTGGCCAGATCAATAAGTAAAATCAATTTGCATGAACAATAAAATATTTACCTTTCAAAATTTCCATAAATATATATCATGAGGATATTGTTAAACCCAGAGGATTTTAAAGAAGTCGATGATACTGCATGCACACAGGAAGTTATTGCAAGTTTGATTCCAACTTGTCAAATAACACTTCCACTGCAATCTCAAATTGCATAATGTATATTTTTGAGCAAATATTGGTGTTCTTAGGGCTTCTGAGAAATAGAGAATGGAAAAACAACATTGCCTGTGGTTTTTTAAAAACAAATAATTGTTTGGTGGCCATGTTGGATTTCCTGAAAAAATATGGTATGGGAAAAGACATTTTAAGTATCTCTTGAAGCTCTGGCTAAAACAATATACTGTCTCTAGCAAAATCCCAAACCATCTCAGAATAGCAAAAGTTAGTATGTTAACATTTAATGAAACCCTTAAACGAATTGTTGTCTCTCAAACAAGACCAAGAGCCAGCCTATTGTAAGAATATTTCTTTTCTTCAGATAATAAGGATGAACTGAGGATGTTGTCTGTCAGCCATGATCGATCTGATGGAGTCAGGAGAAGCAAACCCGGGGTTGAAAGCATGAGATGCAGGGGACGAAGGACGATGACAGAATCAGTCATCTCACACATTGTAACATATCTTTTTCATTTTCTTGGCTGTTTCAACCAGCTGGGGACATTTGCTCGCCTCAAAACATACCAGGGAACTTCAGGAAAATACTGACATGCATATACAGGTGTCCTTTTTTCTAAGATTCATCTTCCCAAGGAAAAGTAAACAAGAGAAAATAATTTGCCCTGAATGAATTTCTAATTGCCTGATCATTTTGTTGAATAAACTTACAAACATTGAAATGATGGGTGCCCCTGCCTATGGAAAAGTGAACAAAATAAATTTGCCCCGACTGAATTTTTAGTTGCCTGAACTTTTTTTTTAATCAACAAAATTGACATGATGGATGCCCCTGCAACTGGTTTCTGGTTCTCTCCTGGCTCCTTTAGAGTTAACTAGCACAGATACTTTGTGACATGTGTCATGACAGAAGACTGCTGAGCACAGCATTATGGGATGTCTTCAGAAAATACATCATCGTGATTGGTTTTCAGAAGCTAAAGGACATCCATTGTTGTCTCAATTATCACAAAAACAACTGTCATTAACTTATTAAAGACAGCTTTACCTTGAACTGAAGCCATCATCTGAGTATTTACACTGTCTGTGTGATGCACCCGCTTTGTTATAACATGAGAGACACTGTTGTATAAAGACACGTGATGTCTTAAAACCTACAATCCCACAATATATATAAAATGTCCTAAAACCTACGATCTGACAATATATATAATGTCCTGAAACCTACAATATATATATAATATCCCAAAACCTACAACCCTACAATATATATATAAAATGTCCTAAAACCTACAATCTAATAATATATATTTAATGTCAATGATATATGTATATGTATCAATGATAGAATTAAAGATCACAATTATAAAGCTGCAAACATAAGATATGTACAGCATCAAGTGTCAAGTCTGCAGGCCTCCAGAAGGCCTTTTGTGCTATTATGTTTTAGTTCCACTCTGGCGATCCCCACCTTCAGCCAAGACATTATGTCCTTGAACTTTGACCAATGGCCATATATACAAAATCACCACTATTGAGAGTGACGATAACAGTGGAAGGTCCTTCTGCTGAGATACCAGATTTATGTGACTGATGGATCTAACAATCTCACTATCAATAACATAACCAAGACATTATTTCTACATGGGAATACATCTTACAATAGCAATATTTACATCTTAAAGTATTTGTGCAAGTGTGAGGGAAAACACATTTGGAATATGGAAAAGATTTGAGTTCTAAAATCAACACCTTTCTGAATCACAACAATACTAAAATACATGGAGTGTGTGCTGATTAGTTACCTACCTGAGCTATGTGGGAATCTACACAGGTGATTACTAGCACTGCAAGCCCTGTTGACATACACATCACATTGTGCCTAACACTTTGCTGATTATTTCAAATACAGGATACAAAACTATGATGGACTGCAATGGGCAGTTTCCAGTATGTGTATCAACCTATGAGCTATCATTGTCTTATGTTTTGTGTCTGAACAGATGGTGACCAAAGTCATACAGAGTTTTATGCTTTTACATAGCAGCCTTCGAGGTCACTTTGACATTACAATACAGTCTATATCTCCTCTCTATCATGGCAGCCTACGAGGTCACTCTGACATTACAGTACAGACTTCTATATCTTCTCTCTAACATGGCAGCCTACAAGGTCACTCTGACATTAAAGTACAGACTTCTCTATATATATCTCCCCTCTAACATGGCAGCCTACGAGGTCACTCTGACATTACAGTACAGTCTTCTATATCTTCTCTCTAAAATTGTAGCCTACGAGGTCACTCTGACATTACAGTACAGTCTTCTATATCTTCTCTCTAAAATTGTAGCCTACGAGGTCACTCTGACATTACAGTACAGACTTCTCTATATATATCTCCTCTCTATGATGGCAGCCTACGAGGTCACTCTGACATTACAGCACAGACTTCTCTATAGATATCTCCTCTAACATGGCAGCCTACGAGGTCACTCTGACATTACAGTACAGACTTTTATATCTTCTCTCAAACATGGCAGCCTACGAGGTCACTCTGACATTACAGTACAGACTTCCCTATATATATCTCCTCTCTATCATGGCAGTCTACGAGGTCACTGACATTACAGTACAGACTTCTCTCTACATATCTCCTCTAACATGGCAGCTTACGAGGTCAGTCTGACATTACAGCACAGACTTCTCTATATATATATATCTCTTCTCTAACATGGCAGCCTACGAGGTCACTCTGACATTAAAGTACAGACTTTTATGTCTCTTCTCTAACATGGCAGTGTATGAGGTCACTCTGACATTAAAGTACAGACTTCTCTCTCTCTCTCTCTCTATATATATATATATATATCTCCTCTCTATCATGGCGGCCTACGAGGTCACTCTGACACTACAGTACAGACTTTTATATCTCTTCTCTATCATGGCAGCCTATGAGGTCACTCTGACATTACAGTACAGACTTCTCTGTATATATCTCCTCTAACATGGCAGTCTACGAGGTCACTCTGACATTACAGCACAGACTTTTATATCTCTTCTCTAACATGGCAGTCTACGAGGTCACTCTGACATTAGAGTACAGACTTCTATATATATATATCTCCTCTCTAACATGGCAGCCTACGAGGTCACTCTGACATTACAGTACAGACTTCTCTATATATATCTCCTCTCTAACATGGCAGCCTATTAGGTCACTCTGACATTACACACAGACCACCATAGCCTCACACAACACCAACTTCAGACAGGTCCACTGGCCATGAAGACCATGTACCAGACAACAGCCTCACACATTGCCACCTTCAGACAGGTCCACTGGCCATGAAGACCATGTACAAGACAACAGCCTCACACAACACCAACTTCAGACAGGTCCACTGGCCATGAAGACCATGTACCAGACAATAGCCTCACACAACACCAACTTCAGACAGGTCCACTGTCCATGAAGACCATGTACCAGACCACAGCCTCACACAACACCAACTTCAGAAAGGTCCACTGGCCATGAAGACCATGTACGAGACAATAGCCTCACACAACACCAACTTCAGACAGGTCAACTGGCCATGAAGACCATGTACAAGACAACAGCCTCACACAACACCAACTTCAGACAGGTCCACTTGCCATGAAGACCATGTACAAGACAACAGCCTCACACAACACCAACTTCAGACAGGTCCACTGGCCATGAAGACCATGTACGAGACAACAGCCTCACACAACACCACCTTCAGACAGGTCCACTAGCAATGAAGACCATGTACCAGAGAACAGCCTCACACAACACCACCTTCAGACAGGTCCACTGGCCATGAAGACCATGTACAAGACAATAGCCTCACACAACACCACCTTCAGACAGGTCCACTGGCCATGAAGACCATGTACCAGACCCTGCTCAAGGTTGAAGAGCCAAGGTTGACTGGGTTCTCTTTGTCCAGTTTCAGCAGTCTGGTGTACTGAGTCATCATGACCCCTGCTGCCGCAACACGTTTCACCAACATGATCAATCCCAATGCAGGTATTGACACAATAACATAATCATACTACATAATAGCCAGTGCATAATCATTACTGGTAATTTAACTCACAAATGACCATCTATAATTTTGTCCTACGCATGGAATTGTGACTACAACACATGGTACTGATGTTGCTTCCACACACTGGGTCCTCAGAACTCCCAGTCTTCTGTCTGTCTACTGCAATACAATCCCATACAAATGGTCTAATAATGGACATTCAGTCCAACAGTAACACCAGGCATAACGGTATGACATGGTCTCCAATGGAGAGTTAGTGCAAGCTACCACCACCAGTCCATTTGTTTCTTTTGCTTGTGAATATATATGCATGTACAAATTCACCATGGCTACAGTTAATTTTCTCTTGATTTTTGTAACAGACTGATATAGTCGCCAGGTGGGACCAGTGTGTGTAACAAAGGACTTGTTCTGAATGGACAACTGCACTCAGCATGTAATGTACCATACTTGGTGAAGATTGTATAGATATCTTTACCTGGACCAACTGACAAAAAATCAACTGTATATGAGAAGTCTGAGTCAAATCTGAATGCTGTCAGTAGGTGTTTACCCTGTGTTGGGCATAGGAGTCTGTGTATTGCAGGGTGTATGGTAGGTGTCTGTAGTGCAGGGTGTATGGTAGTGTGTCTGTAGTGCAGGGTGTATGGTAGGTGTCTGTAGTGTAGGGTGTATGGTAGGAGTCTGCGTAGTGCAGGGTGTATGGTAGGTGTCTGTAGTGCAGGGTGTACGGTAGGTGTGTGTGTATTGCAGGGTGTATGGTAGGGGTCTGTAGTGCAGGGTGTATGGTAGGTGTGTGTGTATTGCAGGGTGTATGGTAGGTGTCTGTAGTGCAGGGTGTATGGTAGGTGTCTGAAGTGCAGGGTCTATGGTAGGTGTGTGTGTAGAGCAGGGTGTATGGTAGGTGTCTGTGTAGAGTAGGGTGTATGGTAGGTGTCTGTGTAGTGTAGGGTGTATGGTAGGAGTCTGTGCAGTGCAGGGTGTATGGAAGGTGTCTGTGTAGTGTAGGGTGTATGGTAGGAGTCTGTGCAGTGCAGGGTGTATGGAAGGTGTCTGTGTAGTGTATAGTGTATGATAGGTGTCTGTAGTGTAGGGTGTATGATAGGTGTCTGTGTAGTGTAGGGTGTATGGTAGGAGTCTGTGCAGTGCAGGGTGTATGGAAGGTGTCTGTGTAGTGTATAGTGTATGATAGGTGTCTGTAGTGCAGGGTGTATGGTAGGTGTCTGTGTAGTGCAGGGTGTATGGTAGGTGTCTGTAGTGTAGGGTGTATGGTAGGAGTCTGTGTAGTGCAGGGTGTATGGAAGGTGTCTGTGTAGTGTAGGGTGTATGGTAGGTGTCTGTGTAGAGTATAGTGTATGATAGGTGTCTGTGTAGTGTATAGTGTATGGTAGGTTTCTGTATAGTGCAGGGTGTATGGAAGGTGTCTGTGTAGTGTAGGGTGTATGGTAGGTGTCTGTGTAGAGTATAGTGTATGATAGGTGTCTGTGTAGTGTATAGTGTATGGTAGGTTTCTGTATAGTGCAGGGTGTATGGTAGGTGTCTGTGTAGTGTATGGCGTATGTTAGGTGTCTGTAGTGTATGGTGTATGTTAGGTGTCTGTAGTGTAGGGTGTATGGTAGGTGTCTGTATAGTGTGGGGTGTATGGTAGGTGTTGTCTGTATAGTGCAGGGTGTATGGAAGGTGTTGTCTGTGTAGTGTATGGCG